ATCAATAAGTTATAGAACGAAATACATTAAATTAATTTATTAAAATCGTTCAATTAATGAAATCAGGGAAGAACCTGAAGAAGTGAAGAACAGAACAAATCTTTTCATGAAATTAATATAAACATTTGAACCATTTAAACATTATTTAACCAGCAGTTGTCAGTTAATTGATTTAGTTCATTTATAACTTTTAATTATATTTATAAAATAAACAGAATAAAATAATTTCTCACGATAAAAAATAACTAAAGAACCAGAAACTTAAATCACTTGAACAAACTATAAAAAAGGATTATTTCACTCTTCAAATTCAACATTATTTTTACATTTTAATGTAAATTATTAAGATTTAAAACTGATCAGCACAAAACATTAAACATTTTTCAGACTTTTGTTATTCAGTTTTTTCTTTCAACCAAACTGCACAAAGAGAAAAAAACAACTGCAGCTTTGAAGGAATTTTAATCCCGTCAGCATTAAACGTTTCAATCTTTAGCTTTTATTTGGTGAAACCAGAAGAAAACTCCACGTTTCCATTCGGGGAAAAAGTCTCTGTGTGAAATCTGGAAGTTTTCCAGCAGTGTGACAGAAAAAGAGCCGACAGCGGTTCGACTCTACGACTGCGGACGTTTCCAACCTGAGGAAGGATGTTTGTGGACTTTAGTGTCATTAAAGAAGATTTCACAATAAAATAAAACAACAAATATTTAATTACTTTAAATAAGAATAAAACAATAAACAGAACAAAGTAAAGGAAGAAATAAAAAGGGAACTTTATAATTAGAAGGAAGAGTTCAATACATTAACATTAACAAACACTAAGTACAGTGTCAGTGATCAGTTCACTCGAGGTCGTCGAGGGAATAAAAACTTTCTGCTCGTTATCAGGAGAAAGTGTAACTGTAAGAACCGACTGAATCCTTCAGACCTGAACTCATCGTCATCAGTCTGGTTCAATAATGTGTAAAATAATAATCATATCAGAAATTATCTGATAAAAAGTCTTTATTTATTTAAGCTTTATTCATCTGCAGGTGAAACACAGAGAACTCAGTTTCACTGGTGCCTTAAATAATCAATAATCAATAAATCACTTATAATAAATAAATATAAATATATAAATAAGGTGAAAATAAAAGCAACAATCAAAAGTTATAAAATGCTACAATATTTAAATCCTTTAAGGAATGAATGAAGCAGATTATTTCCTCTGAATATTGATCAGTGATCAGTTTCCTGATCAATATTGTGTATTTTCATATTTCTAACAATCATACAGAGGCTGAAGATCTCTTAATATAATGTTCAGATCTTTAATAATAGTAATAATGATACTATAAATTATAAAAACTCTTTTTATTTTATCTTTAAGTTTTTATAGTTTATAAATATAAAGTTATAGGTAATATATAGTTTCAGTGTACAACACAAACACATATATGCAGGTTTATTGTTTCTAAATGTGACATATTATATCTGTAAAGTCAGAACTATAATATCCACAGGTTAATAACAATACTCTGTTTCTACGGTAGCCCAGAAGGGACAAATCAAACACTAGGGTTTTGTTTTTTTTTGTGAGTTTTATGGCCACCGTAGTTTCTCCTACTCGCTTCACAGCCCGCTCTCAGTCCCAGGTCATCAGATAGAGACGCGAGCAGTGTTCAGTTAGATGCAATCTGCCACTAAATCCTACGTACTGGTCCTTTAACGACCTCCTCACAGCTTCTTTTTAAAAAGTCAAAGTTAAATAAAAAGGTCAAACTTTAGGTTTTCTAGCCGATTTTTAGACGCACACGGAGACGTTTTTCAGCTTTTCAGAGAGAGAGAAAGAGAGAGAGAGAGAGAGAGAGAGAGAAAGAGAGAAAGAGAGAGAGAGAGAGAGAGAGAGAGAGAGAGAGAGAGAGAGAGAGAGAGAGAGAGAGAGAGAGAGAGAGAGAAAGAGAGAGAGAGAGAGAGAGAGAGAAAGAGAGAGAGAAAGAGAGAGAGAGAGAGAGAGAGAGAGAGAGAGAGAGAGAGAGAGCAGGGGTGCAGTCGGGGGGGAAACCTCAGTTATCACCTCCTTTAAATGAAACCAGTTCACTGATCTGGAGCTCGACTCAGAATCAGGAGGAAGCAGAAGAGATGTGACTGTGAGCCAAAGTGTTAAAGTCATTTTAAATCATTTATATCTTTAATTATTGTCTTTAGTTTGTTTCTGTATTATATGAATAATTCCTGTCTAACAGCTGTAACATGTTATTGTCTTTAAATGTGAATCATTGTGAAGTTCTTTGTTCCCTCCCTGCTGCAGCGTCCTGATTCAACCTCTCTGGGTCAGTCGAGGTAACAGCACTAAAAATATATAAATAATCTCATTCAGAGGCCAAAAGAAACCAGAATGAATAATGTTAAATAATAAATATACATTGAATACAGACGTGACCATTAAAGATCTCAAACATCTCCTCATGTAAGCTGTACACACACACACACACACACACACACACACACACACACACACAGAGGTTGGGGGGGGGGTTTGGCGGCCATGTCCGTCCCTCTCCGTTATATGCTGCGGCTGTTGCTAGGTAACTTCAGAGCGTTGGGCATGTTGCCATGGTGATACTATAGAGAGCAGCTTTACCTCCCTTCACCTCAGCCGAGGGAAGCGGCGCCGTGCTGCATTCACACGCAGTCGGTTGATTTCAACGTCCAGGCGAGATTTTTTTTTTTCTACAGTGTCCTCGGATGACTTTTATTCTGAAACTGCTTCTGATCAAATATTCAATATTTAATTTAATTTAAGTAAAAGTACAAATAAAAAATACTCTATTACCTTCAATGACGATGTTCATTCAGTTAAAGTATAATCAATAACAGTTAAAGTATAATCAATAACAGTTAAAGTATAATCAGTTTAATCAATAACAGTTAAAGTATAATCAATAACAGTTAAAGTATAATCAGTATAATCAATAACAGTTAAAGTATAATCAGTAACAGTTAAAGTATAATCAGTATAATCAATAACAGTTAAAGTATAATCAATAACAGTTAAAGTATAATCAGTATAATCAATAACAGATAAAGTATAATCAGTATAATCAGTAACAGTTAAAGTATAATCAGTATAATCATTAACAGTTAAAGTATAATCAGTATAATCAATAACAGTTAAAGTATAATCAGTATAATCAATAACAGTTAAAGTATAATCAGTATAATCAGTAACAGTTAAAGTATAATCAATAACAGTTAAAGTATAATCAATAACAGTTAGAGTATAATCAATAACAGATAAAGTATAATCAGTAACAGTTAAAGTATAATCAGTATAATCAATAACAGTTAAAGTATAATCAATAACAGATAAAGTATAATCAATAACAGTTAAAGTATAATCAGTATAATCAATAACAGTTAAAGTATAATCAATAACAGTTAAAGTATAATCAGTATAATCAGTAACAGTTAAAGTATAATCAGTATAATCAGTAACAGTTAAAGTATAATCAGTATAATCAATAACAGTTAAAGTATAATCAATAACAGATAAAGTATAATCAGTAACAGTTAAAGTATAATCAGTATAATCAATAACAGTTAAAGTATAATCAATAACAGATAAAGTATAATCAGTAACAGTTAAAGTATAATCAATAACAGATAAAGTATAATCAATAACAGTTAAAGTATAATCAATAACAGATAAAGTATAATCAGTAACAGTTAAAGTATAATCAGTTTAATCAATAACAGTTAAAGTATAATCAATAACAGATAAAGTATAATCAATAACAGATAAAGTATAATCAATAACAGATAAAGTATAATCAGTAACAGTTAAAGTATAATTAATAACTCAAATAACTGATTAACTCAAATAATCGATCGATTGATTCGTTTGTGAAAATTCTGAATACAGCGAGTTTGTTTTGTCCAAACCTCAAAATTAATTACGTAAAATGTTTTATATTATTTAAACTATTCAGAGGAAAATC